GTTTTTTTTTACATCAGTGCCAGCGTTAGTAAACAAACTCAACAGATAAAAATATGCTCACACTCCAAAAGGAATACTCAACCATAGGTTGTACAAGTTGGTCCTATTAGAGTGAGTGCACCCAGAACCAGGTGGTTATTGTACCTGGTCAGATCAGCTCAGTCCACATTTACCATACCAAGAATTTGATTCTTCTCATACCTTACAATGTAGAACCAAATACATTGCAGATTTCTTCCTAAATTAATGTTCTAGTATACTTTAAGAATCACAGTCTCTTTATGAGTTAGATACCCTCACAGACTATAGCGAATAACTAAATGCCAGGTATGGATGCTTAACTTCTGAACCCCAGAAATAACCTTTTTTTTAATGGTTTAGGCTTATATGGATGTCAAAATCCTAGCTCATAGACTGACTAATCAACTCTTTCATTATTTGGACCAGTCTGACTTTGTTCTCAATATATTAACATGTACGAATGTTAGAAGACTTTTTACTAACTTACATTCCCTCCCAACATCTTCCAAACCAAAAGAGGCACTGACTTTGGACACCAACAAAGCCTTTGTTTCAATTGAAGGACCCTATATAACGCAAACTTTCCATAGATTTGGATATGACCACAGTTTGTCTGTATAAAAATACTTTATAAATAACCCCCCACACATCCATGTCATGAAATAATCTCTGCTTCATTTCCTATACAAATTGGAACGAGTACAGTGTGGTTTCCTGGAGGGACACGTTTCACTACATGTTGATGCACATGACAAATCCTAGCAATGCTTTAGAGACACTATTAGATATCATCAAGGGATTCTCGGGTTTCAAGGAAAATACAATTTTGTTTATTGTGTGGATACAATTCCAGCATGAACTTATTGTGGCACCATCCCTATGTAAATCAAAAAGAAATTCTATTCCTTATGCCCCCATAGGGTAAGTGCATAGTAAAAATGGGGCTTTAATTGTGCCAAGATAGGAACCAAAACTGATAAAATCAAAACTATTGCAAAATCAAACCTATTACAAAAATTAAAAACTCAGCACATGTCACATTAATAATTGTGATGTTGGTATACACCAAACCACATCAGTTTTAGTCCAATTGACAATGCAGACAAGGCATGCTGGATCATCGCAATTTATTAATTCTGCTTCAGGATCCATGCTGGGTAACATAAATGATATTGCTGTATAAATTCAATCACAATCATAATAAGAATACATAGTCATGGCCAAAAATATTGGCACCCCTGCATTTCTGTCAGATAATGCACCATTTCGCCCAGAAGATTGTTGCAATTACAAATGTTTAAGCATTCTCATGTTTATTTCTTTTGTTTGTATTGGTATAACACAAAAAAAGTGGAGAAACAAAAAGCCAAATCTGACACATTCAAGGCAAAACTCCAAAAGTGAACTGGACAAATTATTGGCACTTTCCAAAATTGTAAGAAATAATTGCATTCCAAGTTTGTGATGTTCCTGTAATTTATAATTAAACTCTCCTGTATCAATTAACAGGTGAGTTTTAAAAGTATGGACAAGCTTTAGGTTACAAGTCCATTTCCATAGATTTTAATGTTCCTGTGTCCACTGTGCGCAACATTGTCAAGAAGTTTACAGCCCATGGCATTGTAGCTAATCTCCCTGGATGTAGACGAAAAAGAAAAATTAATCAAAGATTGCAGCCAAGGATTGTAAGCATGGTGGATAAAGAACCTTGATTAACTTACAAATTCAAGCTGACCTTCAGGCACAGGGTACAACTGTGTTGGCTCGCACTATAAGTCACCATCTGAATGGAAAGAGACACTATGGAGACCCAGGAGGACCCCACTACTGACACAGAAACATGAAAAAGCCAGATTAGAGAGTTTTTCAAAACTTAACTGAGGAAGCCAAAATCATTTTGGGAGAATGTGCTGTGGACAGACAGAACTAAATTACAGCTTTTGGTAAAGCCTATCATTCTGCTGTTTTCAGAAAAAGCAATGAGGCTTTTAAAGAAAAGCATGCAGTCCCTACAGTCAAACATCACCATGGTTCACTGATGTTTTGGGGTTGCTTTGCTGCTTCAGGCACTGGATGTCTTGACCGTGTGCAAGGCATTATGAAATCTGAAGACTACCAAATAATTCTGGGGTGCAGTGTAGGGCCCAGTGTCAGAAAGTTGGGTCTCCATCATAGGTCAAGGGTCTTACAGCAGGACAAGGACCCAAAGCACACGTCAAAAAGCACCCAGAAATGGTGTATGACAAAGCACTGGAGTGTACTGAACTGGCCAGCAATGAGTCCAGATCTTAATTCCATAGAGCACCTGTGGAGAGATCTCAAAACAGTAGTTGGGAAAAGGAACCCTTCTTATCTGAGAGACCTGGAGCAGTCGGGGAGAGAAGAGTGGTCCAAAATTCCTGTAGAGGTAGAGAGGTATAAGAAACTCCCCGATGGTTACAGAAAGTGGCAGTTATTTTTTCCAAGGGGTGTGCTACCAAATATTAAATTGAGGGTTCCAATAGTTTTGCCCAGTCCATTTTTGGGGTTTTGCATGGAATGTGTCAGGTTTGGCTTTTTGTTTCTCCACTTTTTTGTGTCATACCAATACAGAAAAAAGAAACACGAGAATGCCGAAACATTTGTAATTTGCAACAGTTTTCTAGGCAAAGTGGTACATTATCTGACAGAAATGCAGGGGTGACAATATTTTTGGCCATGACTGTATTTTATGATAACATGCTAAAAAAAAATATTATCAAAGCACAACACAGAGGTTATGGCAGGAAAGAAAAAATAAATCTCCCCAGCCACCCAGAAGATCCAACAACCCTACCCCTAGAACCACCAAGAAGGACACAGAGGGCCAAAAGGAGGAGGGTCATGGGGGGGGGACATACAAAGATAGACCCAAGCTGAAGCAAAACCCAACCGATATGGGGAATAATATACATAGCTTACTTCTACAATACTATACCAATGGGCCAAACAAAATGGTGAGTAGAGAGAAGCAAAAAATCCGCAAAAGATCACTCAAACGTCTAAGGGATGTAACTATGTTAAATAAGGCAATACCTCAAAATAAATGGAAATAGACATATAAAATTAAAGTTTTATTACAATTTTTTCATGAAAATCCTTTTTTGAACTGAAATGAGCTCACCTACACACACTAAACTCGATTCTTCTTCCCTGTGAGGCTCCTCTTGGTGCATTTACGCTTGTGAGTAGCATCTGGAATGTCTCTCTGAAGCATCCAACAGTAGTCTGCCATCATTGTAATGCTCCATTTTCTGTGGTATCTCCTTTCCATCTGTTTAATGTCTTGGTGGAATCGTTCACCTTGTTCCTCACTCACAGCTCCCAAATTTTCAGGAAAGTAGTCAAGGTGGAGGAAATTCATCAGGCAACCTAAAGCTTGAAATGCTTTCAGCATTCGTCCGACGATCTTTTTGTAGTGCGGATCTTTGTTATTGCCTAAATATTTCTGTATGACTTCTTTAAATGCAATCCACCTTCTTTTTGATGATCCGTAATGGTATTGACAAACTCTTGATCAACTATAAGCCTTCTAATGTCTGGTCCGACAAACACCTTCCTTCAATTTTGCCTCCGACAGGCCTGGAAACTTGGTGACCAAGTATTTGAAGCATTCTCCATCTCTTGGAAGTGATTTTACAATCCCAATTTTATGTGGAGAGGTGGTAGAACTTTATGGGAAGGTACCGAAATTTCTCAGAGGACATTTTTTTCACTGACTGTTAGCACCCTTGGCTGCCAATTCTTCTTGGTCCAGTGATTTTGTCGGTCTCGACTGTTCCATAGACACAGAAAACAAGGGTATTTGGTATCCCACCCACTGGATTCTTCAGGAAAGATTAACCCCTTCTACCATTAGAAGCACAGACTCAGGGCTGAGGCTTACACATACAGCATGCTGCTAAGTATCCCAGTAGTCAGACATGTCACTCAGAGCAGCACTTGTATTCACCCCCTTTGCAGGGGGGGGGGGCAGAGATTGTTTACTTGCAAATAACAACAAAGGGCCAGAAGGGAACTAGGGAAATGAGGAAATATAATTTTTTTCCCTAAAACTTGCTTAGCTTATGTATATATTGCTGACCATCAGATTTACAGTGCTATATTTTTTTTTACATAACTCGGGCAACCCCTTTAAGGTTTTTTTGGCATTTTAGATCTTAAATGCACTTATGTGAATTAATTAATAGTAATTTGGACTTTAAATTTGGTTAAAAACCCATAATATAAAAAAAAATACCAAAAATTAAAAAAATTTGATAAATTTGAAGACAGTTTTGCATTTTGTGGCAAATCATGACGTCTAGGAGTTTTTTCAATATTTTATTTGTTTTCAGCACACAAAAATACATGGAAATTAGATGAAAATAATCAAACAGCTTTTTAGTCGCAGACCTGTGTAATCGACCCAGGTAGGAGCCTGACCACGGCTTGGAGCTGAAGCTCAATGGCCATGGCTCCCAAGCACCTCCAGTGTCCTGCCGAGAAGGGGAGAGATGTGCTGGAAGCTCTGGAGAAACTAGCCGAGGAGAGGGGGGGGTCTGCCTGGTTGGACCGAGGACCACCTGGGAGTGGCGGCCATCACGGCGGGTTTTCCTGTGCTCTCGGCTTGACTCTGTGTGTTCCCCAGAGCTCAGTGAACGCTGGGCCATCAGGTGATCTGCTGCAATGGAGCTCTGGGAGGCAGAGGAGCCGGCCGGCGTTTCTTGGAGCAAGGGAGACGCCAGCTCTCTTCCTCCTGCACACAGGACCGTGGCAGCTGGAGACACACGGAAACGGGCTGGGTGAACCCCCCCCCTGCAATCCACTCATTGTGTGAGGGGAATGTCGAGTGCAATGTTCCCCAGAAGAGAGTACTTGAAGCCGCCTCACCCCTCACTTGGCGTAAAGGAAGAGATGTCCTAAAGTGCGGGAAAGTCTCTCAGAGAAGTTCAATCTCTATAGAAACCAGAGATCTTCACATGGGGGAGAAGTATTCCTGTTTCGAGTGCGGGAAATGTTTTTCATGTAAGTCCTATTTTTATATATACCAGTGATAACTGCATATATATCAGAGACCTCACATGAGGAAGATGCTATCTCCCTGTTCTAAGTGCAGGAAATGTTTTCTCAGACAAAACTAGACTTTACATATATCAGAGATCTTACACAGGTGAAAAGCCATATGTCTGTCCTGAGTGCGGGAAATACTTTTCAGTGAAGCTTAGTCTTCATACACATCAGAGATCTTACATGAAGGAAAAATTGCATACCTGTCCGGAGTGCGGGAAATGTTTTTCATGCAAGTCCTATTTTTATATATACCAGTGATAACACAAGACGGAGCAGCTATACCCTTGTTCAGAGTGCGGTAAATGTTTTTCACAGAAGTCCAGCCTGCATGTATATCAGAGATGTCACATGAGGAAGATGCTATATCCCTGTTCTTTTTTTTCTTTTTTATAAAGTGGCATTTTTCTTTTTTTTTTTTTATAAATATTTATTAATTTTCAACCAAATACAAATCACAATCACTTTCTTCTATAAAAAAGACATCAAGTCAATATCTTCCTATTGACATCATTTATCTAAATCCCACTTCCCCTACCCTCCCTCCCCCCCCCCCCCCCTACTCCTTCCATCACCCCCCCCCCCCCCCCCCCCACTCTGCATTTCTCTTCTACCCCAAAACTTTTTTGTTTTTTTCTTTCTAAAAACCATTTCTAAAATCCGTTTTTATTTCAAGGGGTATAAATCATCATCATATATTTCACTTTTTCTCTATATTCTTCCCATTTTTTCCACTTTATATAATACTTCTCCATCTTATCTATATGCATATAATACAATCTTTCCGTCCCACAAATCTGATTCATTCTGACCATCCAATCTTCCTCTGTCGGCACCTCCCTTTTTTTCCAGAACCTAGGTATTAGACTCTTCGCTGCGCTCAAGAAATGCCATATTCCTGAATCCTTATATACTCTCACTGGAAGCTCTGTGACATGGAGAAGACATAGCTCTGGATCCAATCTAATATCGATCTCAGTAATTTTCCTTACTAAATAAACAATTTTCCTCAAACACCTGTATCTTTAAACACTCCCACCATATATATGATATGACGTACCCACTTCTCCACACCCTCTCCAACACAGCGGTGAAATCTCCCCATTCAATTTGTGCTCCACATTCGGTGTGATGTGCCATCTTACTAAACACTTATAGTTCAACTCCACTTCCCGCATGCTAATATTTTCGTGAATTAATCTAAACATTTTCCTCTGCTGCTCCTCGTCTATTTCCCTTCCCATATCTTTTTCCCATTTCTCTACATATATTAGTTTTGTGCCAGTGTCTAATTCCGTTAGTATTCTATATATGTTTGCAACTCCGTGTCTCCCATCTCCCCGTGTTTCTAATAATGTTTCAAATGGATTCCACTCCTTTCTCGTTCTCACAGGTTTTAGGAGACTCCCAAAGAAATATTTCAATTGATAATATCGTAACTCGTCCATTCTGCTGAAAACCTCTCCCTTTTTCTTCTCCAACTCTCTATATGATCCTATTTCCTCACCCACCATTATATCTCTCAATTGCGCATCCTGTTTTATGATCCATTTCCCTGTGATATCTTCCTTCCCAGGAGCAAAATATTCTGAATTCCTTAGTGGCATTAACTGTGAATTAAAAAACCCATCCCTTTTGTCTGTGTAACATTTCCCAAACTTTTAAAACAATAAAAGTGTACACACTTGTGTTAACATCTAGTCCTCTATATTGTGCAGGTAACCATATAATCCTGCTTAAATTTGTCCCACTCAGTGTATTTTCAATTTTAACCCAGCTTTTCCCTGGGTTATGAGTCTAGTCAAAAATTCTCGCAATTATCACCGCTTTATAATATCTCTTGAAATCTGGGAGTCCTAAACCACCTCTCTCTTTAATTCTAGTCAGCATTTCATAACGTATTCTAGGTTTTTTATTCCTCCATATATATCCCAACATCATTTTTCTAAGTGTTTTAAAAAAAAAAAACCTCTGGGAGTTTAATTGGAATCATTTGAAATTTATATAAAACTTTGGGCACAATTATCATTTTTATCAAATTTATACAATTCATCCAAGACGGATTTCCACTCCCCAGTCTCTTCAACTCCTCCTTAATCTCATTTAAAAGTGAAATATAGTTAATTTTATACATATTTTTAATTAAAGCAGACAGTTTTATCCCAAGGTACTTTAATTCTTTCTCTCTCCAAACAAAGGGGAATTCTTCTTGTATTTTTTATTTTTCACTATTTTTAAGATTTATATTTAAAATTTCAGTTTTTGTTGGATTAATTTTTAAATTTGATAATTCCCCATATTCCTTCAGTATTTTAATTAAATTTGGAAGTGATATCCGAGGATTTCCAACATAGAACATCAAATCATCCGCGTAGGCCACTACCTTATGTTCTCTGTCTCCTATCTTTATTCCCTTTTATATTTATGTTCTTTCTTATCATAGACAGCAGTGGCTCCAACGATAGGACATACAGCAGTGAAGATAGAGGGCATCCCTGTCTTGTTCCATTTGACATCCTGAAAATCTCTGATCTTCTTCCATTAACCATAATAGCTGCCGTAGGCCCTCTATATAAGTTACCAATCCACTTCCTCATTCTATCCCCCAGCCCTATCACCTCCAGGGTGTCCATCATGAATCCCCAACTCACTCTATCAAATGCTTTCTCAACGTCAATTGACAGTAGTACTACTGGGGTTTTCCCATTTTTAGCTTCCTGTATGAGCAACAATGATCTCAATCCATTGTCTCTACCCTCTCTTCTCGGGACAAACCCCACCTGATCTTCATGTAGCCATTCTGGCATCAAGACCTTAAGTCTATTTGCCAGAATCTTTGCATACAATTTAGTATCTACATTCAACAGCGCAATTGGTCTATAACTTGCACACTGAGAGGGGTCTTTATCTTCCTTATGAATTAAAACTGTAAGGACTCTCCCCTTATTTCCATCTCACCTCCCAAAGCATTCATATATATCTTCAATTTGGGTATTAGCAACTCTTTATATTTTTTATAGTATTTTACAGTATACCCATCTTGGCCTGGACTTTTCCCCACCGCGGTGTTTTTTAATGCTATTTCTATTTCCTCTGACGTAGTTCAATTGGATTTCACTTAATTTTGCTAGACCTGCATTTTTTAAATATGTTCTTGTTTTTTCTATGTTTACTATATCAGCTTTATTGAAAGTGTCCTGGGGTATGATGTTATATAGATCACTATAATAATCCTTAAATACTCTAGCGATATCTTTAGTTGAATGCACCATTTCACCCTTAGAATTTCCTATTTTTTCTATATAATTCCTATTATTCTTTTTCCTCAAGGCCCTCATTAAATATTTTCCCGGCCTATCTCCCCATCTATACCTTTCACTTATTACTTTGTTATCCCTGTTCTAAGTGCGGAAAATGTTTTCTCAGATAAGTCTAGACTTTACATATATCAGAGATCTTGCAGAGGTGAAAAGCCATATGTATGTCCTGAGTGCGGGAAATACTTTTCAGTGAAGCCCAGTCTTCACACACATCAGAGATCTTACACGGAAGAGAAGTTGTATACCTGTTCGGAGTGCGGGAAATGTTTTTCAGAGAAGCCCTTTTCTTCATATATGACAGAGATCACATACGGGGGAAAAGCCGTAGGAACTGAACTGTATGTATTGAACTATATGTTTAAACTATATGTTTAAACTGAGGAGGGGTTCACCCAGGGGGTCTTAGAGGAAAATCAGAAAGAGGACAATGTAAAACGGATAAAGACCTAGAAGAAGAGGACGCGGGTAGATCAGTTTGGGAGTGGGGGGAGAGAAAAAGGAATAAAAGAACTGAGAGGGGGGATACCCATGGAAGACAACAAATTTTGATATCAAATCAAAAATAGACCTCACCTCCCCAAAACCAGAACTGCGGAAAATTGAAATTGTCCCTGACAGCATGAAAAAAAAAAAGTATCAAAGGAAGGAGGGCCTAAGGCTTCCCAAACAGGGTCAATTAAAAAATACATACCCTCACAGGAGAAACAGACTCCAGAGAGACAACAGGGAATAAGTGTAAGAGGTGAGAGGGAAAACAGCGGGGAATGTTCCAGACTATCCCTGGGAACAGCTAACAGTAGTCAACATATGGAAGAAGAATTGGATATGGATAAAGTATAAGAACAAGAGGAGAGCTCACAGATGCCTACTAAAGCAGAAATAGCAGAAATGTTTAAAGGACTTGAAAGATCCCTAAAACAGGAACTGGCGAAATTACACAAAGATCTGGGGCAAATATTATCAAGGGTGGAGGAGACGGAAGAAAAACTAGATAAACATGCCCAAATTATACAGAAATTAGAAAAATGGGCAATGGAAATGAGAAAAAGAACAAAGAAATCTGTTATATAAATCGGAAGACCAGGAGATAGGAGATGCAATCTAAGGATACAAAGCTTTCCAGAGATCTCCCAAGGAGAAGATTTGACGGGAATAATAACGAGAATGCTGAATACTATATTTGGATAGAACTATAACAGAACCTCTCAAAACGGAGGGAGTATATAGAATAGGAAAATACATACAAGAAGATAGAAAGGAAAAGCCAAGAGATGTAATAGTGCAATTCCATAATTTTTGGGATAAAGAAGAGCTTTGGAAGAAGATAAAAGGAAGAGCAATAATAAAATATGGAGAAATAAATATACAGATCTTTGCTGATTTAGCAGCAGAAACATTAATAAGAAGGAGAACTTTGAAACCGTTACTGGAACAGATGAGAAAAAAGAAAAATGGACGTTCAGCAAGACTGAGATTCCCCAAAGATCTGAGAGACGTTTGTGAGAGACTTGATATACAGAAAATAAATATCCCTGGTTGGGAGGAAGAAGGAGAATTGTGGGCTATGGAAAATGAGGGGAGGCAAGTAGCTCTAAGGAGCAATAGAGATAAGGAATAGTAAAGAGGGAATACGATGGGAGGGGGGGTTCTCTCCCCTTTTTTTTTTTTTCCTCTCTCTCTCCCTCCATTTCTGCCTCTCTCTTATGATCTTTGAAATTTACTAGAGTATGGCAGGACACGGAGGATGAGACACGCATATTGGGGAAAAGTTCATGGCCAGAGCTTCACCTTAAAAGCTGAATCAAAGGTGGGGTAAGGACCACAAATGATTCATAGGCAAAATGTAAGCCTAAAGGGAGATGGGGGGGGGGGGGGGAAGGGAGAGGGAGAGGAGTGGGAGGGAGGGAGGAGGGGGAGGGTGGGAGGAGGGTATGGGGAGGGGATAGGTAGTTTAGGACTCTAGGAAATAGTGGGAGAAACATCAGTCCGGATAAATCCTAGAGATCAAAGGGGAAGATGTGGAGGAAAGAGAGGGAAGAGAGAGAGATGGGGAAGATAGAGGTGTGGAGAGGAGAAGAATGGAAGCGATTCACTTTGTGACTTATAATATTAAAGGGTTAAATAGCCCTGGGAAGAGATTTGGGATTTTTAAAGAAATTCAACTTAGATTTTCTTCAGTGGTTTTTTTTTTTACAGGAGACACATTTGGTGCAAGAATCAAATGTGAAATTAAATTCCAGATATAATCCAATGTGGATAATAAGATATGGGTGTAGTGCTAAAATGAATGTAAATAAAAAAAAAAAAAATATATATATATATATATATATGATTAGCCAGCACAAAAAACAACCTGTGTGCATATAATAAAATGAATGTCCGCTGATAAAGTTCAAATATAAATATGAATAAATGAATGAAACCCAGGATATTAAGAGGAGAATCAGCAGCAGATTGACTTGTGACTCCAACCAATAGTTTAAGTGCGCACTCATCAGAAGTGCATGGATAATGCGCATGTATTATAAACCCTCAAGGTATCTGTAGATGGACAGGATAATTAGGTGAACCTTTCCTCTATGGTGTAGTCATCAAGTTGTAGGGAATACCAAAGAAATCTGGATCCAGAGGTCCCCTTAAGGATGGATTAGGTGCTCAGCCTGAGTACAGGGCTCTTTTTCCTCTGGTCACACTTGTATCCCTGGGGTAACCTGCAGGTTTAATAGCTCCATAAAGGAGCCACAAAACGGGTGCCCATAGTGTAGTATGTTCAGTACACTTTATTGAAATGACAATAGGTAAGGCAGGGTATAGTAACATCCATAAATAGCAGGAATTTGAGTCACTAACCCTGAGTTAAGATGGCAGCCGGGCTTCCGACCGTCGGTTCTCCCCCTGAAGAAGTGCCATTGCACGAAAGGCCTCAGGAGGAACCAGACAGCATGTGACATCACTGCCGCCGGACCTAGGGGGATTTTAGCGCTGCACCCATATCTTATTATCTACATGGAAGGTTTTATATTGGTACCTTTTTGGTGTTTTAGTGGCTGTTTTATAGGAGCGCTCACTATCTTTTTTTATTATATCTTATCCAATGTGGTTTTATGCAGATTCCCCAAACGTGCTAAGGGAGTGGCAATAGGTTTTGTGAAAAATATAAGGTTTAAGCTGGAAGACAGATTGGTAGATTCGGAAGGGAGATTTCTGTTTCTGAAGGGAAAATTACAGGAAATAGGCTGTACACTAGCAAATATTTATTGCCCGAATAAGAAACCGGAGGAAGTTAATGGATTTCAAAAAAGGCAATTTAATTGTGGCAGGTGATTTCAATCTCTGCATGGATCCCCAGATGGATATGACGTCCCCTGTGCAGAGAGATGGTAGTAGGTCTCTGAAATCCTTGAAAAAAATTATATACCAATGTCAACTTGTAGATATATGGAGAATTAAGCACATGAAGGACAGAGACTATACGTTTTATTCTCATGCACATGAGATGTATTCAAGACTGGATTATATATTGCTGGACCATCGACTTAATCGAGTCTCTGGTCAAAGTAAAATGAAAAGTGATGTCAATATCGGACCATGCCCCTGTCGCAATGCAATTATTATGGGAAATGAACAGATCGGGGGGAAAAATTATGGAGGTTAAATGAGACACTTCTCCAGGATTCAGAGGTGGATCAAAGAATAAAAAAAAAAAATAGAGCAATTTTTTGAGGAAAATGATTCTGGGGAAGTGTCCATAGAAACAGTGCGGGAGGCTCATAAGGCCTAAATTAGAGTAATCCTGATAGCGATTGGAGCAAAAAAGAAGAGGGAAAGAGAAAAAATAAACATGCTTCTTAGTGAACTCTGTGAGTTATAGCAGATACATACAGTTGCAAGAAAACGTATGTGAACCCTTTGGGATTACGTAGAGTTTTGCATGAATTGGGCATAAAATGTGCTCTGAACGTCATCTAAGTCACAACAATAGAATAACACAGTCTGCTGAACATAATACTACACAAACATTAGATGTTGCCATGGTTTAATTGCACATAACATGTAAACATTCACAGTGCAGGGAGGAAAAAGTATGTGAGGCCCTAGCTTAATGACTTCTCCCAGAGCTAATTGGAGCCAGGAGTGAGCCAACCTTGACTCCAATCAGTGTGATGATATTGGATATGTTGCTGACAGCTGTCCTGCCCTTAAAAAACACACACCTGTTTTGGGTTTACTGGTTTCAAGAAGCACTGTCTGATGTGAACCATGCCTCGCAGAAAAGAGCTCTCAGAAGACCTACGATCAAGAATTGTTGACTTGCATGAAGCTGGAAAGGGTTACAAAAGTATCTCCAAAAGCCTTGATGTTCATGTGTCCACGGTAAGACAGACTGTCTACAAATGGAGAAAGTTTAGCACTGTTGCTACTCTCCCTAGGCGTGGTCATCCTGTAAAAATGACTGCAAGAGCACAGCGCAGAATGCTGCATGAGGTAAAGAAGAATCCCAGAGTGTCAGCTAAAGACCTACAGAAATCTCTGGCACATGCTAACATTTTTGTTGACACATCTACAATAAGGAAAACATTAAACAAGAATGGAGTACATGGAGGACACCACGGAGGAAGCCATTGCTGTCCAAAAAGAATATTGCAGCATGTTTGAAGTTTGCAAAAGAGCACCTGGATGTTCCACAGCACTACTGGCAAAATTTACTGCACAGATGAAACCAAGATTGAGTTGTTTGGGAAGAACACACAACACTATGTGTGGAGAAAAAAAAAGGCACAGCACACCAACATCAAAAAACCTCATCCCCACTGTAAAACATGGCGGAGGGAGCATCATGGTTTGGGGCTGCTTTGCTGCCTCAGGGCCTGGACGGATTGTTGTCATTGATGGGAAAATGAATTCCAGAGTTTATCAAGACATTTTGCAGGAAAACGTACGAACATCTGTCCGCCAACTGAAGCTCCGCAGAGGATGGGTGATGCAACAGGACAATGACCCAAAGCATACAAGTAATTCAACAAAACAGTGGCTGCAACAGCACAGAATACGCCTTCTGGAGTGGCCCAGTCAGAGTCCTGACCTCAACTCGATTGAAATGCTGTGGCATGACCTTAAGAGAGCGATTCACACCAGACAACCCAAGAATATTGCTACACTGAAACAGTTTTGTGAAGAGGACTGGTCCAAAATTACTCCAGATCATTCTGCAGGTCTGATCTGCAACTACAGGAAACGTTTGGTTGAGGTTATTGCTGACAAAGGAGGGTCAACCAGTTATTAAGTCCAAAGGTTCACATACTTTTTCCTCCCTGCACTGTGAATGTTTACATGTTATGTGCAATTAAACCATGGCAACATCTAATGTTTGTGTA